ATGAGGGGCTCAAAGCCATGGACTGAGAGATCATGACCTGAGCCAAAGTCAGATGCTTAACCAACTGAGCCACCCAGGCACTCCTGCTGACCACTGGTTTAATGGGAACCTTGCTTCCAGTGGGGCAGCCCTTGGGGCCCGTCTTCCAGTTGATGCTGTGTGTGAGCCTCAAAGTAGGCATTGCACCATTTTATGAAGCCAGCTTCTTCTAGGTGATGGGACATGTGTTAAGGTCAGTGAATTCAATGGACATGAGTCTGTTTGCACATTTCCTTTGTTCCAAAATATGTCCCTTGTCAGATGAGATGCTGTTTAGAGTACCATGGTGATGGTAAGTTTACAATTGTAAAGCTTGTGGACCAGTCATAAAAGGAAAATACCTTATAAAGTAGGTATATCTGCTGGAAACAGTTAATAGGACTGAGATGCTCAAACCCTGCACGTTTCAGAGAAAGACCTGTTTTCATGAGCTCCTGGAAACTGAGCTCTTGGGATGTCCTGACTGATAAAACATTTTCCATGCCATTGTATAAGATCTAAACCTATGTGTTTAATATCATACAGTTATTATGAGCTTAAAGTACATGCTGCCTTGACATTGGGAGAGCTCCAAATGGCCTCTCTGCATGTTCCCATCCCCTCTGCTCCTGTGGGGAGCATTCCAGCCAAACCACCCTCCTTATCAAAGGGACCAAGCACAGTTCCTGCTTACCCCTGAGTAGTGAGTTTCAACTCCTGATAGCCTAAAGAATTATTCAAACAAGTCAAGCACATTTTCCTTGGAGAACCAGGGGCCTTCTCAGCCTCTTGATACCACAACGTTGAGCGCAGAGGTGCTCACAAAAGAGGGATGGTCCAATGCCCCATGTATAGTACAAGATCCTGCCCACTGTCTCTGTTAATTATCTTTGGGTGGGTGGTGTCCTCGGAACTGTGAGGACCTGTGGCTGTTACCTGCTCTTGAACTCTTCTGTCCAGTTTTGGGGTGTCTTCTGTCTGCCCACCCCATAACCATAGGGGAGGATCCCTTCACTCACCAACAATGTGAGGATTGAAACACATGCTGGGTTTTTGAGCAACGTTGTACCAGTTTTTCTAGATGGGTTATATGAACAGACATGTATTTTGTGGTGAATACCTATTTTTGCCCTGGATATTCACTGTGTGCCCCTATGACTGACTCCCAATGAAACCCTGAACTCCTGGGCTCGGATGAGTTTCCTTGGTTGACACTCATGTGGGTTGTCACACATCGCTGCTGGAGGAATTAAGCATGTCCTATGTGACTTCATGTGCGGCCTGGACTTCTCATTTCCTCTGGACTTTACCCCATATGCTTGCTTCTTTTGTGGATTTTACTTTGTATACTTATGTTACACTGTGTTATGTTATGTAATGAGTCATAAGTGTGGGTATATAACAATCTCTTCATTACTCTCCAAACCTGAGAGTGTGATGGGTTTACTCTCATCCATCCCTGTGAGGTCTGAAGTGATACCCTTCCCTGAAGGAAGGGGCCAGAGAAAATGAACCTGTCATTAGGTAGCTAGCTGGGCTCTCTCAGGAATGATGCTATGCTGGGAGCTAAGAGTTGACCTACAGTTTGAGAGCTCATCAATAGTGGAAGTTTTCAGGTGTGCAAGTCTGTTTCTATGGAACCAGGCATAGCCTCCAACCTTTGTCATTTTGTATATGGGCCCATTGAGCAAGCAGCAGGGTGATTGAATGGATCAGTGTAATGCATGTTGAGACGTGCTGCCCAGAATTTCCCCCCATCAGCGCCAAGGACGACTACTCCAGCTGCTGAGAGTCCTGGCCTGGTGACTCTACCTCCAAGGATTGCCCTCTGCCTGAGTCAGCCGCCTTGCTCAAGGTTATGCCCCCTTCCCAATGGCTGCCTACGTGTGCTCTGGTTAATATGGGATTATAAAGACCTAGCCTCTTTGCCCCAGTGTGGGGAGATGCTGCAGGGCCCTCTTAGCCCTGTAGCTCCTCATACAATAGCCTGAGGCCCTTGCTGTGACTGTATCACACCCGACCTTCTGTTTCTGCTCAACCCTTTCACCTTTCCTTCCTGCAGGTACTGATCCCAAGAGTGCTCCCTAATATCTTCCTTCACACTAATCTCTGTCTCAAAATCTGCTACTCAAGGAATCCTATATGTGACAGAGGTTACTGGAAGTGGGGTCTGAGAAAGTAGCCTCTCAAATGGAGTTGTGGAACTGTGCTAACCCCCGGCTGGCTGTTGCTATTACTAGTCATAGGTGGAGCACTGGTAGCCCCTAGCGTAGATGGGGTACAGTTGTTAAAGCTTGCAGGATGAGTAAACCAGATGGAGGGCCAGTGAAGGGAAATGCACTGGTGGATACAGGGTATGAGTCATTTGAGAAATATGGGAAAAAGAGAATTCTCAAAAATGCAATTGGATGGCTGCATCTGAGAGTAGTCATTGCACTGGGAAGAGATAACAAAGGGCTGAAGGTAATAAATCAGTGGTTAAAGACTAAGTGTGAAAGCCACATGATCAACCTCCTTGCAGCATTTAAAAAGGCTCTTATCTCCTGCAACCAGAAGGTAGGAAATGCTGAGGACTAGGCCCAGCATGTAATCATAAGGGGGCCGAGCTCCAGAGCAGTTGTTCTCAGCACTACCAGGTCTATTATGCCAAGGTTGAGGCCTTGTTTGGGAAAGAATAGAATCCTAAGGGATGGGGTACACGTGGGTAAATGCACTAAAAACTCTTGACTCCTCAGACTCCCCTGCATTCTCCAGGCCTGGAGCCACGGCCACTCTTTCCTCTTGTGGACTGTATTACAAAGGTGTATTCATCAAGACAGTATGGAACTGGCACAAAAACAGACACTTAGAACAATGGAGCAGAATAGAGAACCCAGAAATGGCCCCACAAATGTATGGCCAACTTATCTTTGACAAAGCAGGAAAGAATATCCAATGGAATGAAGACAGTCTCTTCAGCAAATAGTGCTGGGAAAACTGGACAAAGGCATGTGGAAGAATGAACCTGGACCACTTTCTTACACCATACACAAAAATAAACTCAAAATGGATGAAAAACCTAAACATATACAGGAAGCCATCAAAATCCTAGAGGAGAAAGCAGGCAAAAACCTCTTTGACGTCAGGTGTAGCATTCTAACTAGACATGTCTCCAGAGCCAAGGGAAACAAAAGCAAAAATGAACTATTGGGACCTCATCAAGATAAAAAGCTTCTGAATGGTGAAGGAAATAATCAGCAAAACTAAAAGGCAACTGACAGAATGGGAGAAGATATTTGCAAATGACATATCAGATAAAGGGTTAGTATCCAAAATCTGTAAAGAACTTCTCAAACTCAATATCCAAAGAACAAATATTCCAGTGAAGAAATGGACAGAAGACATGAACAGACACTTTTATGAAAAATACATCCTGATGGCTAACAGAGCATTCAAAAAGTGCTCAACATCACTCACCATTAGGAAATACAAATCAAAACCACAATGAGATATCAACTCACACCTGTCAGAAGGCTGAAATTAACAACTCAGGCAGCAACAGATGTTGGCGAGGATGTGGAGAAAGAGGATCTCTTTTGCATTGTTGGTGGGGATGCAAACTGGTGCAGCCACTCCAGAAAATAGTATGGAGGTTCCTCAAAAAACTAAAAATAGAACTATTCTACGACCCAGCAACTGCACTACTAGGTATTTATTCAAAGGATACAGGTGTGCTGTTTTGAAGGGACACATGCACCCCAATGTTTATAGCAGCCCTATTGACAATAGCCAAAGTATGGAAAGAGCCCAAATGTCCATCGATGGATGAATGGATAAAGAAGATGCGGTATATAGATACAATGGAGTATTACTCGGCAATCAAAAGGAATGAAATCTTGCCATTTACAACTACGTGGATGGAACTGGTGGGTATTACGCTAAGTGAAATTAGTCAGAGAAAGACAAATATCATATGACTTCACTCATATGAAGAATTTAAGATACAAAACAGATGAATGTAAGGGAAGGGAAACAAAAATAATATAAAAACAGGGAGGGGGACAAACCACAAGAGACTCTTAAATATAGAGAACAAACAGAGGGTTACTGGAGGGGTTGTGGGGGTGATGGGCTAAATGGACAAGGGGCATTAAGGAGGGCACTTGTTGGGAGGAGCACTGGGTGTTATGTGTAGGGGGTGAATCACTGGATCCTGCTCCTGAAATCATTATTGCACTATATGCTAACTAACGTGGATGTAAACTAAAAATATGAAAAAAAATTTAAAAAATAATAAAATACTAAAGAAATGTTGAAAATATAAAAGTGGAAAAAGGGATACTAGATAAAAAAATATAGAGAATATAAGATAATGTAGAATTTACAGCAAAAACACTAAAAATATAGAGGTAATTTTGTAATGAAAAAGACTTAGTGCTTTGTTTTTTTTCTTTTTAAATTTTTGTAATGTTTATTTATTTTTAAGAGAGAGAGACAGACAGACAGAGTGTGAGCAGGGGAGGGGCAGAGAGAGAGAGGGAGACACAGAATCCGAATCAGGCTCCAGGTTCTGAGCTGTCAGCACAGAGCTTGATGTGGGTTTCAAACCCACCAACCGATATCATGACCTGAGCCGAAGCCAGACACTTAACTGACTGAGCCACCCAGGTGCCCCAAGGCCTAGTACTTTCTAATAGTCTATCTTTCATGTTCTCAATGAGTTTTGAGATACAGACCTACATTTTTAAAATTCTAATTTTCTACTATTGAATTATTTACAGCAAATATTTTTTACTGAGCTGATGTACTAAGAGTGAAGCAAACCCCTTAGACTGCCCTGGAGATTTACTTTCCACCATCTTCTGGAATGCCCCACTTAAACCCATGTTGGTAACAGACGAAACAGAAAACCTTTGTCACAGATTCTATCTTGATGTTGGTTAAACTCACAATTTCTCTTTTCCTTCATGTCTTCTTAGAAAGTAATTGCTTGCCTTGAGAAGGAGCTCTGTGCAGGGTCTGGGCCGCTCTCATGGCTGCTGTCTCCCTTTGAGGGAGCTGGAGGGTAAGGTGCTCTGGTCCATCTGCCTCAACTACTTGAGAGACCCCGTAGCCATCAGCTGCGATCACGTCTTCTGCTATCGCTGCATCATTCAGGTCTGTGACTCTACTGGGCAGCCGTTGCACTGTTCTCTGCAAGCCAGCCTTCAGGGAAGAGTATTCGCCATGTCTGGCAGATGGCCAGCCTAGTGGGAAACATCTGGAGGGTAAAGGTAGATGAGGAGAGACAGCCCAGAGAGGATGCACCACTTCAGCGAAAAGCAGAGAAGCTGTGTGGGCTGCATTTGGAGAAGCTCCATTATTACTGCGAGGATGACCAGCAAATACTGTGTGTTATGTGTCGGGAGTCCCAGGAGCGCAGACATCACCCTGAGGTTCTCCCAGAGAAGGCTGCACAGCCTTATCAGGGAAGAGTTCTGCCAGACCCTAGCTTCACTCTCATCGCCAAAAAGGTTCTATTATGGTGCCTTCGGGACAAGATCCAAATTCTTTTTCTATTTAAAAGTATTATCTTGGGAGCCTGGGTGGTTCAGTCAGGCGTCTGGCTCTTGATTTCAGCTCAGGTCATGATCTCACTGTTGGTGAGTTTGAGCCCCATGTCAGGCTCTGCACTGACAGCGCAGGGCTTGCTTGGGATTCTCTCTGCTGATGCTCACTCTCTCTCTCTCTCAAAATAAATAAATGAATTTTTAAAAATAAAAACAAAAACATTATATTTAAATGTGACTGACATGTGAAAAGCTGTACATATAAGGGGCACCTGGGTGGCTCAGTTGGTTGAGCGGCCAACTTCGGCTCAGGTCATGATCTCGCTGTTCACAAGTTCAAATCCCGCATCCCATGTCGGGCTCTGTGCTGACAGCTAGGAGCCTGGAGCCTCTTCAGATTCTATGTTTCCCTCTCTCTCTGCCCCTCACCCACTCATGCTCTCTCTCAAAAATAAATTAAAAAAGGCATTAAAAATTTAAAAGAAAAGCTGTACATATTAATGTACACTCTTAGTGAGTTTGGAGATAGGCATACACCTGTGAAGCCACCACTATCATCAAGACCACAGACGAATCTCTGACCTCCCTAAGTTTCCTCCTACCCTGTTTATTATTGTCATTATTTATGTGCATAACAAGACCACTTAACATAAGATCCTTAAGATACATCATCTGGGTGCCTGGGTGGCTCAGTCTGTGGTGACAGCTCAGAGCCTGGAGCCTGCTTCGGATTCTGTGTCTCCCTGTCTCTCTGCCCCTCCTCACTTGTGCACATGCTCTCTCTCTCTGTCTCAAAAATAAATAAAAAAATTTAAAAAATCTATCCTCTTAGCAAGTTTCAAGTATACAATACAGTATTGTTGGCTGTAGGTACAATGACCTAGACAGTGTCTCCAGAACTCATCTGTCTTGTGTAACTGAAACTTTGTAGCCTTGGACCACTGCCTCCAGTTTCCTCCCCTCCAGCGCTGGCACCCGCCTTTCTACTCTCTGCTTCTATGAGTTTGATAAGATTATACAATATTTGTGTTTTGGTGTCTGGCTTCTTTAACTTAGCATAGTGTCCTCCAGGATTTCCTTCTTCTTTAAGGCTGAGTAATATTCCATTGTTTGTATTCACCATGTTTTCTTTAGCCAGTCATTCACTGATGGACAGTTAGATTGTTTTCATATCTTGGCTGTTGTGGATAATTCTGTAACACAATATTGTCACACAGGAGTGCAGATACCTTTTTGAGATCCTGATTTTCTTTTCTTTTCTTTTCTTTTTTTTTTTTTTGAGAGAGAGCATGCACACGTGTGTGCAGGCGAGCAAGCAGGGGAGGGACAGAGGGAGAGAGAGAGAGAGAGAGAGAGAGAGAGAGAGAGAGAGAATCCCAAGCAGACTTCACTCTCAGTGTGGAGCTCAACATGGGGCTCGATCTTATGACCCTGGGATCATGACCTGAGCCAAAATCAAGAGTCAGATGCTTAACCGTCTGAGCCACCCAGGTGCCCCCAGACCCTGACTGCAATTCCTTTGGATAAATATTTAGAAGTAAGATTGCTGGATCATGTGGCAGTTATATTTTTTAACCTTTTTAAGGAACATCCACAGTGTTTTCTGTAGTGGCTGCACCAGCTAACAATTTTACCCAGAGTGCAGTAAGTCTCCCTCTTCTGTACACCTTCATCAATACTTATTATCTTTTCGTTTAACGGTAGCCATCCTAACAGGTACAAGGTCTTTAGTGTGGGAAGTTCTTGGTAAAGAGTTACCCTTTGAATTTTGAAAATAAACCTCATTTGTTTCCATATCTGTTTATAATAGTAAGTCTGTCCTGTTGCCTTGCTGTTTTGTTTTCGGAGGCATTTGGATCAGGTCTCAGCTAACAGAATAGTATCTTGCCCTCTTGATAGCATTCCTGGTATGCACCTTCAAACTGTGGTACTCTAGCACGTAGCTGTATAGATGTCTTTCAGAACGTAATCTCAGGGAAAATATTATTGCCTTAGAGGTGCTGGTATGTTTCCTCCTGTTTGCTAAGGAAGGATTATGCAATCAGTTCTCTTTTCTCCTTGGCTGACAGGAATCTTAAAACCAATTTAGTCATCCTCTCAATAATTTGTAGTTACTGTATATGCTTTCCTTCACTTTTTGTTTCAATTTTCTGTTCTATTTATAGGTTATTAATTATTTTTTAATTAAAACAATTTTTTAAATGCTTATTTTATTTTATTTTTTGAGAGACAGAGAAAGAGACAGAGTGTGAGCATGGGAGGGGCAGAGACAGAAACGGACACAGAATCCAAAGCAGGCTCCAGGCTCTGAGCTGTCAGCACAGAGCCTGATGTGAGGATTGAACTCATGGACCGTGCGATCATGATCCGAGCCAAAGTCAGGTGCTTAACTGACTGAGCCACCCAGGTGCCACTCTTAATAACTAGTTTAAATATAAATTGTCTATATTTTTGATGGAAAGGGACTATAAGTATAAATAAGAAGCACACTGTAAGTTGTAGTATTAATGAAAATAAATTATTGTTTTATCTCAATTCTAAGAAACTGCTCTAAGCTAGCATAGCAGTGATGTTGCTTCTTGTTCGTTAACTAGGACAGAAAGCATTCTGCATCCACATGACCATTATTATGCTGCTGAAGGTCCAATGTGTCTGACTTCACTCGGGAATCACTTTGTATCTCTCTTTTCTCATTGAGGGCATTTTCATCTTCATCTTGAGACCATCTGTGTCAATTTCATAGGTAAAATTTTAAATCATCTGAAGATTCTGAAGGGGGACTGAGACAGGATCCAGAATTTTCAGTCAACAGGAGAAGATGAGGTTCGGGCCCTGCTGGTGAGAGAAGTCTCTGTGGCATCAGGGTGGTGGCAGTGTGGGGGATATTGAGGAATGGGGAGGGCATGACCACGGGAATCCCTTTTGTGGACTCGTCCCCAGAAGACCTCACACATGTCCTCATAACTCCTCCCTCCCAGAAGAAGTCCTTTCCTCTCTCTGCCTTTACTGTAGACAGAATTCCAGAGTCAGAGGCAGGACATCATGTCAGTGTTTGAACAGGGCCACCAGTTCCTGGGAGAAAGGGAGCTGTACTTACTGGACCTGCTGGAAAGGATAGAGCAAGAGCTCACCCACGGGAGGAACAGCCATGTCACCAAGAGCTCAGAGGACGCCGTCCGGCTTGGAACCCTCATTTCTGAGTTGGAAAAAATGGCTCAGCAGCCTGCAGTTGAGCTTTTTCAGGTGAGGAGCAAACTACATTATACTTGCATCTTCTTGCTGTAAGCTGCGATTTGGCCCTAGTTAGCATGAGATTTGGACCGGAAGTCAAGAGAGAAGAAAGTTTTACTATCATTTTTTGAGGACTTTCGTAACCCATAATCAGCTAATCAATAGGTTTTAAGTCCTAAACTGAGTGAGCAGGGGAGAGTAATATACACAGACCACACAGTAGATAGTAACCTGTAGCTTACAATGACAACAAAAAAATCAAATGTGAACTCTTGTGGTTAGAATGGAGCCCACGGAGACAGAGGTTTAGCAGGGAGGCTTTTGTGAAAGAAGACGTGTTTAATGTTGGCCTTGAAAAAAATGCAAACATTTGGGTTGGCAGAAAGGAGGAGCTGAAGCTCAGTGAGGGAGCACTGGTGAGGGTTAGTTCGTGGGCTGTTATCACATGCTGCTGCAGGTACTGAGAGAGCACTGTTGACGGTTAGTACACGGTCTGTGATCACACGGTGGTGAAGATACTGAGGGAGTACTTTTTAGGGTTAGTACGCAGGCTGTGATCACAGGCTGTGCAGGTACTGAGGGAGCACTGGTGGGGGTTAGTACACAGGCTTTGATCACACGCTGGTGCAGGTAATGGGGAGCACCGATCAGGGTTAGTTCATGGGCTGTGATCACAGGCTGTGCAGGGACTGAGGGAGCATTGGTGAGGGTTAGTACACGGGCTGTGATCACATAGTGGTGAAGGTACTGAGGGAGTACTTTTGAGGGTTAGTACGCAGGCTATGATCACACGCTGTGCATGAACTGAGGGAGCACTGCTGAGGGTTAGTACGCCGGATGTGATCACAGGCTGTGCAGGGACTGAGGGAGCTCTGGTGGGGGTTAGTTCGTGGGCTGTGATCACACGCTGTGCATGAACTGAGGGAGCACTGCTGAGGGTTAGTATGCCAGATGTGATCACAGGCTGTGTAGGGACTGAGGGAGCTCTGGTGAGGGTTAGTTTGCAGGCTGTGATCACAGGGTGTGCAGGGACTGAGGGAGCTCTGGTGAGGGTTAGTTTGCAGGCTGTGATCACACGCTGGGGCAGGTACCAAGGACCACAGGACTAGGAAGACAGGACCAGCACACAGACAGCAGGGAGCCACACTTTCTTAGGTGTCTGGTTCACTGAGGGAACATTAATTGGAGAATGAGCTGGATAGAATGGGGTTCCTTGTGCAGAGGTTTTCCTACATAGGCTGAGACTTGGATGGGACCCTTAACAGATGAAGTAAAGTTCCCTGGATGGAAGATTCTGGAGCTCAGGAAAAAAGGCAGTGGGAGGGTTTTTCGCCTCTAAACTGATAGCATCCATGGGGACAGAGCAGGTGTGGGCCCATGAGAATGGCTTGTACCTGGATGTCGTGCACCTGCTCCCTGATGTGCCCCCCAGGTGGGAATGGCACCCCCTCCTGGGAGGCTATTGTCCATGTCAGTGTCTGTTTTCTCTTTCCTTCCAGGACCTGAGTGACGTCATAAGCAAGTAAGTACTGATTGCCTTTTTTGTTGTTGTTGTTTTTAAACAACTTAGGTGTCCGTGTGTTTTCTCTCTTTCTCAAATTATTGAAATTTGACAAGGGTAGAAGGAGGATTATTTGAAGAAACCTCTAGTGAGGTGGGCTGAGGATGTCCAGGGAAGGCGGAGGGACTTCTGCACAAATTCCTGTTGTGGAGCTCACGTTAGGGCCGTTGGGGGCTGAGAGACGTGGCGTGGGGGGTGTACGGGGGTACATTCGAGAGGTTTCAGGATCCATGTTTGCTTCCAAAGCCCAGTTTTCACTTCCTCCGGTTCATGCCTGGTTCCCTGCATCCTGTAGGGCACATTTACGCAGGACACTGTCCCCTGCTCTCCGCTGGCGCTCAGGGGGACACTCCCACAGGCCTGGGGGCAGTGATTCCCCTGCAGTGCCTGCCGGATCCGACAGGCTGACAGCTTCCAAGTCCCACCCACACCGGACGCAGGAGCTTTGGACAGACAGACTCTAAACTGAGAAGTTGCTGCTGCACAGGTGGTATCCAGGGACTCCTGGGTCTCTGGGCTTCTCTGCATATGTTCTGTGGGCTGCACGCTGGGCCAGCAGGAGGAAATCCCAGCAGGTGGCCAGATTGTGGCTGGGGACACAGGGCACACACATCAGGGACGAGCAATGACATAAGAAATGAGTGTAATAGTTTTGCCCTGAAGGATTTTGTCTGCTATCAGTCAAATTATTCCAGCTTTCTTTTTTATTAGTCTAGGCAGGGCATTTCTTTCTTTCTTTCTTTTATAATCTTCATTTATTTGAGAGAGAGAGAGAGGAGAGAGAGTGCATAAGTGGGGGAGGGGCACAAAATCCGAAGTAGGCTCCAGGATGTGAGCTGTTGGCGCAGAGCCTGTCGGGGCTCAAACCCACAAACTGTGAGATCATGACCTAAGCAGAAGTCCGGTGTTTAACTGACTGAACCACTCAGGTGCCCCTGTTATTTTTTTTAAGTTTGTATTTAAATTTCAGTTAGTTAACATACAATGTGATAGTAGTTTCAGGAATACAATAGAGTCACTTAGTAAAGTCAGAGGGTACAAAATCAGTGTACAGAAATCAGTTGCATTTCTATACACCCATAACAGAGGAGCAGAATGAGAAATCAAGGAATTGATCCCATTTACAATTGCAAGAAAAACCATAAGATACCTAGGAATAAACCTAATCAAAAAGATGAAAAACTTGTGCTCTGAAAACAGTTTTTTTTTTAATTTCTCTTATAAGGAACAATTTTATTTTTCAATAAATCCACTCTATTTTTTATTAGAAAATTTAGTTTTTATATATTCTACTTTTTTCAAAAGCATTTGCATAGGTGGTCAAAATAATGTCCTTAAATTTAATTTCCTTTTTATATCTAAATATTTTTTATTTATTTTTTTTGAGAGAGAGAGCATGAGAGAGAGAGAGAGAGAGAGAGAGAGAGGGAGGGAGAAAGAGAGAATCCTAAGCAGGCTCCATGCTGTCAGTGCAGATCTTGAAGTGGGGCTTGATCCCACAACCCTGGGATCATGACCTGAGCTGAAATCAAGAGTCAGATGCTCAACCGACTGAGCCACCCAGGTGCTCCTGAATATTTTTCATTTCTTATTTGGTGTATTTGTACTTTTGTCTCCTCTATTACCTGCTTTCCCCCCCTATAGTTAATGATTTTTTTTTGTCTATGAGCCCCACTTTTGACATACACCACAATTTCCAGTGTATAGTATTTTATTATTATTGTTTTCTAGATATTTTAAAATTCTGACTTTGATTTACTCTTTAACATAAGATTTGTTTAAGAAAGAGGATATTTGTTGAGTGTATGGGAAGGGGCTGACTCCATCTTGTTCTGTGTCCTTCACCTTGACCACGCCTCCTCCCCTTGAGCACCCCCCCCCCCCCTCACCTGCCTAACAGGACTGGGACTCTTTCCCTCAGGCCAATCGGGTTGAGGCTACAGCTGGCCTCCAACAACTGCCTTGAAAATTTGGGCCACAACCTTGTCCTTTGAAACTCGCCTTCTCCCAGTATCTCACTGCTACAAGCAGGTGGTAGGTAGGTAGGGATTGAGCCTCAAGTAGCTCAAATAAAGGCTTTTGGTTACATCGACTCGCTCTACATTTGGGAATCACGAATTCTGGGCATAACATTTGTCAGTGGCATTAGTCTTGTTTTTCTTTTGTTTTGTTTGTGTTTCATAGTTTTTAAATCTCATGAACAGACAAGGTTGTTGATCTTTCCACCTTTTGGACTTTGTTGAGGCATTCTGTGTTTACATGTTGTAAATTTTTGTGACAGTTCCAAACACTTGAAAAGAAGATGCATCTTGCATGTGCTTGGAATAGGATTTGATTTATCTCCAGGAGGGTTCCCTTAGTAAATTTGTTATTAAGGTGTTTTGTATCGATACTTACTTTTTGACTTCTCAATATGTCATGGACTAAGAGAGGTCAAAGATTCCTACTAGCAATGACTTCTTACCCATTTTTTAATTATGATAGTTTTTGCTTTTCTATATTTTGATGCTTTTTTTCTCCTGTGGGACGTTTGATGGGAGTTATATCTTAATTGTGGATTATAATATTCTTAGTACATAAAAATACTTTCTGTTGTCTTATTTAATATATTTCCACCTTGAATTCAGTCCTTTCTGATAATAAGGTCAAGATCTCGTGTTTCTTTCATTTTGTATTTAGCTTATATATTTCTGCTCAGCTATATATATGTCTTAAATTGAAAGCCTTTTTAAAATTAAAATTTAAAGTTCTGTTTTAATTTTAGCTTATCTGATGTGTATCCTCAGGTAATTTCTCTAGAAGTTGAAATATTAGTAGCATGTTTCAAAGAACTTCCACGACAGGAAGCGGCTTTCTCTCTCTTTAACATGATAAACAACTGGTACACTGGTGGGTACAGAGTACCTGGTTATGGCCCTTTCTTCAGAGCTCTGGACATCACACTGTTGGGCTCTGATGCGGGGCTGGCCTCCTGGAGGTGCCACTTTGCTCCCAACCCTGTGGTGCGTGGTTGTTGTGTGTGCATGAGTGTACATGGATGTGGGAGACCCTCCTTTCGTCAGGAGTTCCTGCAGTGCCTCTGTCTTTTCCAGATACCCCTGGAAGAAGCTCTGGATTGAAAAGTGCTGTCAGTGCTGCAATCAAAAGGCAGGTAGAAGACTTTTCAGATAAACTTCTTTCTTTAGAGAAAGGACTCAGAAGATTCAATGATAAGGGAATGGGTGGAGGAAGAAGTTCTGAGCCTAGAAAATCCCTTTTCTTTCTCTGTAGTGCTTATCCTTAGGATTCACCTCTGGCCTTGGGTCCTCATAGCTCCTTGCTTGTATTCAGGCCATTCACACCAGGCGGGGACACTGGAGAGGGAGAGTCAATCTGTCCAAACCAGGGAGTCTGTCCACATGGCAGTGTAAGGGTGTTACCTGGATTGAGGGAGAGTCAGAGTAGGTCCCAGAGCAGATAAAAAGGTGTTTTGCACCTAGAAATGAAGAAGAAGAATTTCAGGAAGCTATGGATAACACGTGATGCAGTTTTGGAGTGGTGGGGGTCCAGAGCTGATGGCCAAGAAAGAATTCTTGAGATGTCTTTGGTGAAAAAGGTGATTTTATTAAAGCACGGGGACAGGACCTGTGGGCAGAAAGAGCTGTCCCAGGACCATGAGAGAGACTTCTTATATACTTGGGAGTTGGGGGAGGTAAAGCCAGGGTGAAGTTTCCAAAGTGATTTTCATATGTTAAAGAAGACTCATGGGATCTGGGAGACCCAGCTGTCCTCAAGCTAAGATTGTTTCCCTTTAGCAAAGCATCAACATTAAGACAGTAGTGGGTTCCTGGAGGAATGTTATACTCTGCCTGCCTCAAGTATTTGTCAAAGGGCTGCAGGTTCTAAGGAAACTTACTTTTATCTGCCATTTCCCACATTAACATGGATGCATGGATAGCCCTCAGGGACATTATGCTGAGTGAAATAAGATGGTTACAAAATGCCAAGTCATGTATGATTCTACTTCTAGGAGTTCCCTAAAGTGATCAAATCCTTAAGAATGGAGAGTAGGGTGGCTGCCAGGGGTCAGGAGGAGGGAGAATGAAGGTTGTGGTTTTATGGGTGTAGAGTTTTGGTTTTGCAGGATGAAAATATTCTGAAAACTGGTTGCACAACAATGTAACTACACTTAACCCTGCTGAACCATGCACCTAAAATGCTAAAGATGGTAAATTTTATGTTATTTTATCATATTAAAAAATAAAACAGTAAAAAGAATACTGGGGGAATTCATCTCCAAGAGGTCTCTTAGCAAGTGGGAAGAAGTAGTGTGATTTAGGCCGAGAAGTTTAAGAGCACAGAGAACATGCTTTAAGACTGCGTGATGAAGCAGCAGGTGTGAGCAGCACAGGTACGTGCATGAGCCATGGGGTCTGGACAACTCCGTGTGTCTCCTGCACCGACTTCTCTATGTCGCTTGGGCTTCATTGTGCCTGGCCAGCTTTTACAGTAGTGTCAGCCGGCAGTAAGAGAACTGGACCTAGAAGATGTGATGTCAGGATTGCTTACTATCTTTTTCTTCTTTCACTCTAGGAAAATTGAGGAGGGATCTGGAGTATAAGACCAGTGAGTATCTGGAGGGGATAATGACTGATGCTCACCCCAGAGTAAACTCTCCTTCTCCAAATTACAGTTTTCCTGTAAAGCTTCCCTTATGGATCAGCTCTTTATTTTTTTTAAACGTTTATTTATTATTAAGAGACAGAGATAGAGCATGTGCATGGGAAGGGCAGAGAGAGGGAGATACAGAATCCAAAGCAGGCTTCAGGCTCTGAGCTGTCAGCACAGAGCCTGATGCGGGGTTTGAACTCACAAACTGCAAGATCATGACCTGAGCTGAAGTCGAATGCTTAACAGATGGAGCCACCCAGGCGCCCCTGGATCAGCTCTTTAAACAGGAATGTCTTTGTGGTAGCTAATGTACCTGAATTCTTTGTCCTGAGGTCTCAGAGTTCATCCTTCCCCAGCGTTTCTCAGCCATAAAGATCCCAGCCCCTTCCTTCTTTTCCTCCCTGGAATTCTCTCCCTGGCTTCTCCCCACCCTCTGGAAGGTATGAGCACAAAGTCTAAGATTTCTGTCCTGGTCCCTGAAGGGAGTCTCCTACCCTTGTCAGAAAGGCCTCAGAACCCACAGGGAAAATCTCCTTTGATATCTTATGATGCCATAACTTTATCCCCGTGTCCCCACAGCGAGGATCATCCTGAATTCCCAGCCAGCCAATGGCTGCCTCTCAGTGTCTCCCAATGAGAAAAGCCTGATATTCACTGGTTTGTGGATGAACAAATACCAACATGGTTGGAGATTTGACCCTGAGCCTGGAGTGCTGGTCAGTAGGGGCTTCACGTGGGGCAAAGTGTACTGGGAGGTGAGGGTGGACAGGATATGGTGGGGGGCAGAGGAGGAAGATGCAGTGTGTTACTGGGGTGGAGCCAGAGACATGTTTGGCACTAGCTACCTGGGTGGGTTAGTGGGCACCCCTGGTGGTTACAGTCCCACCGGGTACAGAAATGAGAATGAAAATGGAATATGGCTGAAATTCTGCCTGGTGGGGATGGCCAGAGAGTCGGTGGTGAGGAGAGGGTGTCTTGCCTTCACCCCTGAGGAGGGGTTCTGGACCTGCAGCTCTCCTCAGCTGGGGTGTATGTAGGTACCAGCTCGAGCCTTTCCAGATCCTGTCATGTTGTCCAAGGCAGACTGGAGTTGCTCTGGATTATCATGGTGGGAAGGTGACCTTTACCAATGCCAGGACTCAGGAGTTAATCTACAAGTTCTTCTCTTCCTTCACGGGGAGAGTTTTCCCTTTCCTGTGGCTTGACTGTATGAGAGGCAGACTCACGCTGAGGCTCTAAGACAAGGTCTCATTTGGCCTGTATTCCTCTGTGTCATTCCCAACTTCCCACTCAGCTAGACTGTCTGTTTGGGCTTCCAAACACCCTTAGATCATGGGACCAGCACGGTGGAGGCAGGAGTCCCTGATCCTTTCCACTTGGTCTCTAAAATAGGGATGACACTCATCTGCCCTCTCTGCAGAGTTAGGGTTGGAATGTCTTCAAAGCACTTATTAAAATATGTGTTCTTGTTAATGTTTTTCTTCTGTTGCCTTTGATTTGGTCCTTCATCCGCCACTGAGATAAAGGTATGAGAACGAGTGTGAGTGTCCTAGGGTTACATTCTCTGCCCCTAAGAATAGTGGTCACAACATCCCTATCAGTTCTAAATCATAAATATTTTGATGAAATTCATGCCTGATTGACAGTTGATGTATTCTGAGGTTTGAAATATCTGGGGTCAGTATGGGCTCATTTACTTCTATGTTCTTAACCATTTTCTCAACAGAAAGTGGGGAGGGGAAACCCTGAGGTTCAGGAAGGTATGAGTTTTTGGAAGCAAGTCTTAGTTGGATTTTGAGATTGTAGAAACAGATATTAAGGTAAAATTATTAGTCTTAGCTATAAGCAGAAAACAAATCTGGCTGTTTTTAGAGGAAGGGAAATCTATTAAACGATATGGGGGGGGGTGCCAAGAGGGAAGGAGACCCTGTCTACTGGCTTTCACATTCTGGAGGCAGTACCGTGTTACCAGGAAGAGCCTGGGTAAGAGACAATATGGTAGCTGCAGCCAGAGGGAGTAAGGCAGAGGGGTCATGAGAGCCTGAGGTGATTGTCATGTTGTCAGGATGTGAATGGGATGCACAGTGCTTTAGTGCAAGCTGGCAGATAGTGGGTAGGATACAGGGAGAGCAGTGGAGGAAAAAGAAGCAATGAATATGGAGCTGGAGCTGGAGACGTGTTTAGGAGTGGCTATCTTAGTGGATTCACAGGCATTACTGATGAGTATACAGAAATGAGAATGAAGAGTTGAGGAAGAAATGGTCTCAGGGAATTAGTGGGTACTTTTTCATGTAATTAACTCCTACACCATAATCTGGCAGAAGTGCACCAGATTGCCAGGTATAGAGTACGTGCCTTTGCCCCAGCAACAAGGGATATTGGGCAAGCATTTTCAGCTTCTGCAGTAGGAGGTGGTCTCATTGGGACTCATGGAGGTTAGCATTCTCAAGACATGGGAGCAGAGGCTGGTTGCCTAAGCGACAACTTAAACTTCCAGGTTTGGGAGATGTGAGGAAATCTGCTATGATAGTTCAGCTGTGTAAGAACATTGTGTTGAAAAATATGACCAAACAACACAAGATTCCTATATTCTGCATCTGTGTCTACAAGCAGAATTCTGTATTCTGCATCTGTACCCGTATGTACAAGCAGGTGCAGACAGACTACCAACAGTGTACACGGAAGTCCTTCATATGGAAGAGACAAACCAATTTCTTCTGTATGAGGAGTGGCCAAGGGTTATAACCAGTATACTCTATCCTGTGTTCCTAATTTGTGTTTAACAATGTACAGGATCCAAGAGAACAGATTTTATGAGTTAAGGATATAGAGAATGTTCCATTGGTTAGAAATAAATGCAAACCAAAATATGAGTAAGTAATTACTAAAGAACGAGTTCAGAAAGTTAGCAAGACAGTGGAGAAACTGTTCCTATTCTTTTTTTCTTATTTTATCTTATTAAAATTAAAGTATACTTTAATATACAGTTTTATATTAGGTTTAGGTATACAAGATAATGATTCAACAATTCTATCCATTTCTCAGTGCTCATCATAGGTGCAGTCCCTGCCCATCACCACACAATATTATCACAATATTATCGACTATATCCCCTATGCTGCACTTTTCATTGCCATGACTTATTAATTTTATAACTGGAACTTTGCATCTCTTAATCCTCTTTATCTATACCCTCCTCCTCCCCCTCCCATCTGGCAACCACCAGTTTGTTCAATATATTTAAGAGTCTGGGCTTTTTTTT